TGGGGAAAGGGGAACACTCATCCACTGCTGGTGGGATTGCAAACTTGTTCAACCCCTATGGAAAGCAGTGTGGAGAACTCTTAAAAAACTACAAATGAACCTACCATTTGACCCAGTTATACCAATCCTTGGCATATACCCAAAGAACCCATCCTATTGGACACTTGTACATCCATGTTTGTTGCTGCTCTTTTCACAATAGCTAAGTGATGGAAGCAACCTAAGTGTCCCTCAACTGACGAGCGGATAATGAAAATGTGGTTCATTTATACAATGGAGTTTTACTCAGCAGTAAAGAAAGATGAAATCATGAAATTTGCAGGTAAATGGATGGAACTAGAAAATGTTATACTAAGTGAAGTAACACAGACTCAGAAAAAAAAAAAAAAGACACATGTTCTCTCTCATATGTGGATCCTAGCACCAAATCCTTAGACATGAGTACACATCCAGACACAACTACAGGAACCAGGATAATGAAAAGGAACCAGGGAGATAAAGGAAAAGAAAGAATCTGAATGAGAAGAACAGTAGGAAACAGGCATTAATAAGGGAGATATGGATAAAATGGGGTTATTTTAAGGGGGGGTCATACAAGGAATCTACGGGATAAAGGGAAAGAAGGAGCTCGAGAGGTAGGACCATAGGAGAAGGGTGCTATTAGAGGAGAAATGGGGAAAATAGGGGCATTTTAAATGGGGAAACCATGGTGGAAGCATTAAAGTGTGAGAGATAAATAATGCCTAGCTATTTTTAAAAACACCAGAGGGTTTTTAATCGAACAACCTACTGACAAATTACACATACAACTAACTCAAGGAATATAATATATGTCTAGACAAGGTTTATCTGAGAATATTTGGTCTTTTCCCAAGCTTTATCTAGATGGCTCATGGTAATTAAATGTATCCTAGTGTAACTAAACTTCTTGGATGTTTAACAGCCATACGTTGAGGCCTATACTAATATGGTTGGAGGGACATAAAGGGCAGATTTTGCTCCTTGTTTTCCTAGGTTAACTAAGTTCCAGGGTACTATGAGCAGCTCTCAAAATGTCCTGTGAGTCACCCATCCTCTTGATCAAGGAAGCCATGCAGACCTCATCAGATGGAATTGAACCAGTGTCCAGTCTACAAAGAGGAGGGTCAACGAAGAGAAACATTTC